TTGCAAATCTCTAGTCACTTGAAATTTGAAAGGGCTAACAGGAATAGATGTGTCAATGTACATATCTAAGTTTCTATTCGGAAGTTCTTGTTGCGGTTGAGTCACATAATCACGGTTAAATGTGTTTATCATGTATCTTGAAGTTCTAAGATTGAGATATTGAAGCTTTGATGTTTTTGTGACGTGACATAGATTCTGAAACATTTTTTACGAATTGTAATAATGATCTGAAAAAGTATTGAAATGTATTGTTACAGGGAATTTAACAATTAATGATACCGTGAATGAATACAAGGGAAATTTTGTTAAAGCAGGCGTGACTATTGATGATTTGATTAATATGATAAGAGGAAAATTATTCTTATGTGCTTTACCTCGCAAATAAACGTCGTAGCCAAGTTATGTCGTTTTTATAGCTTTACAAACTAATAAAGGTCAATACATGTCACGGATGATCGTGTTACATCACGAAGTTGTTTTTATGTAGAGTTATGTAGAATTATGTAGAATTTTTATGTAGGATTATGTAAAATTTTTATACACCTTTACAAAAACTTTATAAACCCAATGTAAGGTTTACATATCTATTTATATAAAGCTATATATATTCTACGTAGAATTATATAAAATAGCAAAAAATTTTAACTTAAAGATTAAAGCTAAGATTAGATTTAAAGTTTAAATTAGGGTTTGGGAAGGTTTTCGAGCATGCTGAACATTTTTACTTAGCGTATCGATCGGTGATTACCTTGGTCACTTTTGAGAAATTGCTGAAGTAAATTAAATTATTTTTATATAGATATAAATAAAATTTGCATAGATTTTATATTTATATAAATAATAAATAATGTTATATATAGAAATTACGTAGTTAATGTATAAAAATTTTTATTATATAAGTCTACATTGGGTTTGTAGACCTATATAAAAATTTTATATAATATTTACATAACTTTATAGAGCTATATAAAGTTTATAAAAAAACAACTTCCTGATGTAACAGTCCAGTTTATCTGGCTTGACCTATTTTTAGTTCTGTTTTTTTTTGTTTAATTATAGTTCTAAGGTAGCTGCAACTAAGTAGGCTGATCCAGCTAAGCAAGAAATATAAAAAGATCGGCTGGCTAATAAAGCTGATAGATATATGATTAGGCGGCTCCGAATATATTCTATTTTTAACATATTTACATACAAATCAAACATCATGTTATCCAGTATTAGCTTTTCGGATTCTTTTTATTTTTTATAACCAATAGAATTATTGTATTATTGTATTTTTGGTGTTGCTTAATTCCTCCTATTTTTGCGAAATATATATTTTTTTACGTTAAACACAGAATCAACTAGGAGTGGCGAAAATAGAAATGGATAACATAAAATGAGTTAAAATTTTGCAAAGTTCCGAAAGGTTTCGAAAGGTAAGACATTAGCCAGCTGCTTACCGTATTTTCGCGAAATAACGGACATGGGCGTTATTTCGAAAATTGTTGGCTTCGAAATAACGCCCATACGCGTCCCGAAATAACACACACCCCATAGTAAGAAGTAATTATTTATAGTAATATTCGCTAGGTTTGATACTAAGTAAGCTTAGTTTCGAAGCGGTTTTGTTTTATATAAGAAGATACTTAAAAAGTTTATATTTGTTTCAAAATAACGCCGCCCATGCGCGTACTCGAAATAACGTGCATATACTCAAAATAACGCGCAGGTGGGCGAAAATACGGTAGCCGATATTTCGGTCGGCTGGCCTAGCCAGCCAATTAACCATAACTTGAATTATTCTTTTATAACCTGGTTTAAG